TCAACGAAATCAGCCACTTAAGCTAAATTCACTAAATATACATCTGCTTCATTTGTAAGTGGTTAAGTATCTCACGTGATCAGTAACAAATGTGTGACTATTAACAAATGCGTGTTGGCCATTGTTTTGAAGAACAACCTCGCAAAAATGAAATATGTATCCCTTCTTTATTAAATTAACTTTCTTTTGCTCTTGCTATTGTCTTAGCAAAGCCTTTGGGAATAAAAACTGTTTACTGTATATCACTTTTTATCAGTTTAGATCTAGCACGCAAACGAGGCTAGTCCCTTGGAGGCAACAAACATAATTTATGAATAAAAAATGAAGCCATTGCTCATTTCTGTTCTAGTCTATCTATTCGCCACAATTTAGGTTACAGGAATAACAATAATCACAATGAGTTTTATGTATATATTTTTTATTCCATTCAGATATTTTTCAGTTTTGAAGAAGACGCTAAAATAAACAGTGGTGTACTTTTAATCAGTTATTGATAGGGAATATAGGTTAAAGACTTATAATTAATAAGAAGCACAATGGTTTCGTTCTGTTAGACTGCCAGTGATATTAAAATAATTTTTTGCGGAGAAAACTGTCTTGCAAACAAAGACTTAGCCTCGTTCTACGTTTCTAGTCAGATTCGTATATTTGAGTTCACTGGGAGTAATGATTCCAAAATAATAATTTCTTGCCTATCATATGATATTATACAGTGTATCATGAAAAAATATAAAATGAAGAAAAATCATTTTCTAATTCATGATTTCATTCAACCATTAAAAAATCCTCCTAGCCGTTATTGTATAATTTCCGGTCTTTTAAAGTATCTTTTCTTTACACAGTAATGATAATTAGTTTTATAACTAGTTTTTGATTTGTATTACTTTGTAATTTTGAAGTGGCAAAATAAATAAATAAATAAATAAATAAAATATTACTGTTTTGATTAAGTATAAATGTATACGTTGACGAATTTAGAACGCTTTTTCATTTTTTTTGTGAAAGACAACTGTGATAGGTGTGTCAAGTTTCTGAATTGCTGCATTATTCAGATTGATTTCCATGGCTAGTAAGGAACAAGATAACCCTTCTGGTTTAAGTATAACTTCTCCTCCAAAGAGACAAATGCATCATTTGCCAGGTCAATAAAGAGGGAATTTTAAGAAAAGGGAAAGGGTCTTCTATTGAAAATTTGAATAGAACACTCAACCTCTGTAAAGACGAAGTGTATGATAGATTACACAAGGACTTACACAATTTTCTAAACCAAAATGTGTTTTGGCATTCCACATGCTATTCGTCCTACACCAGTGAACACAACATACGGCATGCTACTGGCATTGATGAAAGCAAAGTGGACAGTGGAGCTGGTAATGAGGAAACATGCAGAGTTTCAAGGTCGTCAGCTGGTGTCTATATAGATTGGTCCAAGTGTTTCATTTGTCAAAATAAGACATATAAAAAATGCCAAGATGCATAATGTTTGTACATTTGAAGCATGTGAGTCAGTTCGAAAGGCACCAGAAAGCAAAGGTGATGAAGGAATGCTGCATGTTCTCATTTCAGTCAACAACGACCTAATAGCTGCTGAGGCAAAGCATCATAAGACGTGTTTCGCTTCCTATATTAGCAAATCCAATCTAACGCACAAGGGCTTTAAAGAAATAGAAGGAGAAGCATCTTATGGTACAGCATTCAAAGAGATGGCAGCCAAAATTAGTGAGGGTATTTACCAAGGAAAGGCATATGATACGTCATCACTTTTGTCAAAATATCGCAAACTCCTGGAGGACAAGGGAATCAAGGCGGAAGTTATAGCAAACAGCACCTGAAACTTTGACTTCAAAAGCACTTTGGAAAAGAGATCGTGTTCCACCAGCATCCTGACAGGAGTAAGCCTGAGGTTATTTATTCAAGGAACATTATCACAGCAAGACGTGCTAAATGCTTCAGCTGCACAGAATGCCAGATCCGTAAGCAATGTTTCATTTCATGCCACTCAGCAGATTGTAAACACAGCTTGGTGGGTAAAGGAGGAAATATGTAAGTGCAGTGGTGTCACATTAAGACCCCTTAACCTGGACGATATGTCTCTCGAGTCATTGAGAAGGATAATTCCTCCCAGTCTGTACTGGCTAGTTCATTTGATGATTACATCCAATGAGTCTGGAGTTGATGACTTTGACCAACCATGTCCCTGTGTCAAAATAGAGGACGAGAGGCGCATTATTAGTATTTCCCAAGATATCATTCACTGCGCATCAAAAGCCCGCGTAAAGCTCCTGAAGTAAATAGGACATGCAATGGCGGCTTGTCACCTGACTGGATCCAAGCAGTTAGTTGGCCTTTTGAATCAAATAGGGCACAGTTCGTCATATGATGAGTTACAAGCAGTTGATACAAGTCTAGCAACGGAAGTATTGGCCAAAGTAGAAACCTATGGAACAGTCATCCCATCAAACATCTCTCCGGGGTCTTTTGTGCA